CGCGATGCACAAAATCACACTGCCACAAAAATACTCTACGCGTTCGCGACACCGACCACGCGAACGCGATGACCTCAGATGCCAGACCTCTGCGAACGCGTCCAAGCCCATGCGAACGCGAAGCCAAAATTCCCCAGCTCCCTCGCTGAAATGTGATCGCGTACCACATATGCGAACGCGAGGAACAAATCTATCCAACCCAATTTCCATATCCGCGAATGCGATGGCTCCTACGCAAACACGGTGAACTACCAACCCAACTGACCAATTACTCAACGCGATCGCGAAGCTCAACTGGAGCACCAGAAAACCAATATCTTATGCAAACTCCGAAATGGTTCGAAATCAATCTAAAACACAGTCGAGCCCCTAGGACCTCACCCAAACATACCAACAAGTCCCAGCACACAACATGGACTTACTCAAGGCCTAAAATCATTAAAAAAAATATCAAAAGCACGAAGCATTGATCAAGATCAATCTCTTAAGTGCATACACTTCACACTTCGGACCAAACGTCCGATTCAAGCCTAACCAATCCGGAATCTAACCAAACTTTGCACAAAAGTCCCAAATGACATCATGAACCTATACCAACTCCCGGAACAACAATCAGAATTCAGTAACCTTAAAGTCAAGTCCCGGTCAAACCTATGAACTTTTCAAACCTCTAAATTGCCAACTTTCACCAATTAGAGCCAAAACCTTCTGAAAATATCCAAATGCAAAATACGGGCATACGAGCAAGTCCAAAATTACCATCCGGACCTAACAGAACCATCAAAACTCCGATCTACAGTCAAATAAGTCAAATTTGGTCAACTTTTCTAACTTAAAGCTTCTAAAATGAGAATCATTCTTCCAAACCAATCCTGAACCACTCGAAAACTAAAATCGATCACACACGCAAGTTTTAATGCATCATATGAAACTACTCAAGACTTCAAACACCGAACGGAATGCAAATGCTCAAAATGATCGGTCGGGTCGTTACACTGAATTAGGACAAGACCATCATGTTGCTTATTTTCACTGTACAACTAATACAATAATTAATATTTCGGAGGCATCTCAACATAATATATTAACTTTAACTCTTAAACGTACCATTCATAATTTGAAGATAGACCATGATGCACATTATCGAGTTGATGATGACTCGAGGATGGACCAGCATGATCTACCCCTCCAAAATTAGGTATATTTCAGCTATTGGCTGGTTCATAACTTGTAAAATTTATATCTGGCTAGAAACCATATGAAAAATATATGAGTTAGTACGATTATGATACATAATAAGAAATATTTATACTACAACATGGTAAATTGTAATTTACCACTCGGCCTGTGAATTTTGTAAACTTGGCGACCCTCTATGTTGCTGCATTGGGGAGAAATTACGTCATCGCTCTTCATTAACCCGTGGAGAAAAGTTTAAATTTGGCCAGACTCTTTCGTACGGAATCTGTTCGAATAAAACAACTTCGAAAATACCGCCAGATGATTGAGTGTTAGCTATACTTTGCGGAACATCAATATTGTTGATGTCTTCTGACTTTACGTACATTTCCAGCATTCTTAACATAAGAACATCATTGTGTTCATCCGAAATTCTCAAAAAATCTTGTAGAGTTTCATCGTTATCGATGTTAAGCTCGACATAACAAGCAACAGCTTGCGGGGTAAGCGATAAGATTAACCGAACGTTTACTCACACTCGTTCTTTTACAAATCAGAGATATCAATTTGTCGTACTCCAATGTGAGTGGCACCTTAACAATATACTATGGAGAACAACTATAGTGTATCGGGTTATTTTTCGCCACAACCTCACCGCCCCAATATAATGCAACCCTAATTTTTCGCTCATCAGACATTGTAGCAAGATTCAAAGAGAAAAGGTATATTGATGAAGATGAAGTGGTGTATAAAGGATGCTAAAGAACAAAGGTATGGTTTAAATTCACTCAAGAATGATTTTTTCAAGAATGAACGTTCGACCTTAAGTTAGCAGTTGGGATTCCAAATATCAATATAGCGCATCTAATAAATGTGCTATACAGTTAATTATTATGGCAGCTCAATTGTTGAGTATAGCGCATGTAATAAATGAGTTGTACACAAGCGCATGTATTACATGCGCTATACAGTAAATTATTATGGCCGTTAAAGTATACAGTAAATTATTATGGCCGTTAAAGTATAGCGCATGTTACAGTTTTACATGCGATATATATAAAATTGTGTTCATCTCTTTTTTTCACCTACTTTAGTCTCTTAAGTCAAAAAAAAAAAAAAATTAGGTTCCCGACTCGAATCATGGACCCTTAATTTCCTTGCTTATATATACTCTCTCTTATCGTTGAAAGTATTAGCACACTCGTTGAGAGAATGACTTAATAAGAATTATTTGATTAATTTACCCGTTATCTCTCCTCAAAAAGATGAGTAATAGCTGTTGAGAGATACTTAAAAAATGCTACTATGGATCACTTGCAACTAAGGTTGTCCAACGGGACGGGACGTCCCGTACCGTCCTAGTCCCGTCCCCCGTCCCATCCCGTCCTACTTAATTTTAAACGGGATGGGCCCATGTTAAACGGGACACGGGATGGGACGGGATGGCCATTTCGTCCCGCTTGTCCCGTCCCGTCCCGCGTCCTTTTTTTTTTTTTGAATTCTAACCGTTGGGCAACGGCTCCAATTGCTTACTAAATTTTAGAAAAATTTTATTATGCTACAAAATAATTTTCTGGTATATATTATCCTACTGTTACACAAATATTATGATATATTTGTGAAATTTCTGTTGTATTTGGTAAGTATAAAACTAATCCAACTAATGCATCGGCCATTAATGAAATGATTGTAAAATTTTAAAAGTATTTTTTCCCTATTCCCCAAGTTTATTTAATTTCTACTATACTTAACCCATACTTGTTTGTAAAATTTATGAGAATTTAGCAATTCAAGAAAATGAACAATCATCTCTCGAAGACTGCCAAGCTAACATATACTCTTATGTTAGATCAATGTTTGATAAATATAAATCTATGGAAACAACAGGTGGTGAAACTGCTCCTTCTACTTCTAAGTCTAGAGTAGAACTTCTATGGGAAGATATGGATGATATAACAGGTTTTGATTCCTTTATTGATGATGAACTTGATTTTTATCTTAATCAAGGATTGGAAAGTATTAAAGACGAAGAAGGCAACGAACATCTTTTGGCATGGTAGAGGGAGCGTGGCAATACTTTTCCAACACTTTCAATAATGGCCTGAGATATTCTTTCTATTCAAGCATCATCAGTAGCATCGGAGAGTGCTTTTAGCACGGCAAGATTTCAAATCGGAGATCATAGACATTCATTAGCGGAGGACCCTACCTAGGAGGTGGCTGCGTAGATTAGGTGCTCTTCAAAAGAATTATATTTGTATGTGAGATTTGAAAGTTCTATTAATAAAATAAAAGGCTCTAAGCGTTGAATTTTTTTTATGAATTGTCTTACACTCTTACTTAGTTACTTAATGACTTGAAATTATATTAAATAAATTATAACTCTATTATAAATTTATAATTACTAGAATATTTCATTACAAGTCTTTTGTTTTAATATTTTATAATTCTTTACTTAGTTTCATAATTTTCGTTTAATTTTTAAGTTTATTAAATAAGTTAAAAAATTAATTGTTGCAAACTTTAAAAACTTAGTCATTGTCAAAAGAATAACCGTTATCAAACTCAATGCTTAAATAAATAAAAAAATTAAAACGACACTTAAGGCCCGCGAACCTGTCCTGTCCCGTCCCGTCCCATCCCGTCTGTTAGCGGGACGGGATGGGCCTACCGTCCGTCCCGTCCCGTTTGTTAGCGGGACGGGATGGGCCTACCGTCCGTCCCGTCCCGTTTGTTAGCGGGACGGGATGGGCCTACCGTTCCGTCCCGTTTGTCCCGTCCCGCCACCGTCCCGGCTAAATGTCGTCCCATCCTGTTGGACAGCCATACTTGCAACAAGAATAGATTTGAAGAGAAAAAAATTATAATACTTTCTGATTTCCTAAAGCTGACACTTATTTACCATTTTTTTTTTGTGTGTGTGTGAGAGAGAGAGACTAAAACAACACTTAAAAACGACCAATGGAGTAAGAGACGTAAATGCGATCAGTATTTCTCAAGAGCTACATTACAATCACTGGCGAGTGGCGATACATCCCACACATATGACTGCATTTAATGTAATTTAACTGAATCAGAGACTTTATACATCAGATTATTCTATCCTTTAAGTTATACATTAGATTATTAATCTCATTTCAACTTCTCAAAACTTTTCACAGCAATCCAAACAGCACATTAAAGTAGGCATTCGAACAATATTTGAGTTGAAGTTAAAAAGGAAGAATATTTGGATATAATTTGTGAATTCTCAACCACGAGTATGGTTTCAGAACTAATGCAGCTTCAAAAGATATAGAAGAAAGGGGTCTGCACACGAACCATAAAATGACTAAGCCATAACAAATGAAAAGTTATTTGACTAGGACAACAATTTTCTCCACGTTTAAGCTATTACAGATAGCACAGAAAAATAAACCATAAAGTCGTAACAAAACTTGAAAATAATTACTAGACAAGACTAGATAATCAGGCGAAATTCTTTTAGTAACTTAAGCTTAACAGATTATCAGATTGTGGGTAGAAACTATGTAACCCATAGTCCTAGTTTTTCGGAGTTATCTGGTAAGCTGGCAAATGTCAGTTGAAAGTTGAAAAGATGTCTTTTCCAGATGCCTTATCTAGAAAGAACTCAAAGGTAGAACAAGCAAAACTGATTTGAGGTGTTGAACTGCTGATAAAGTGAAAGATAAAGAACAAAGGGATGCTTTATTTCTTAACTTGGTATGATTAGTAGTTGTAGGTAGCAGCTCAGAGGTGGTGAAACATGTCATGGTTCAGTGTGAATCTCACTGTTTTAGTATCTAAAGAAACAGTACTTGAAACATTTTAGATAGTAAGCACACTGAAAATACTGAATAGAGTAGCACACCTGATATTCATCATTCCCCAACAGTACTCTAGCCTACAGGTTATAGTTTCGTGTCTTCTCTTTGTGCAGTGATATTCATGGGAATCGGGATATATCATGGTCGAATTAGTACTATCTTTGGAAGCGAGATACATGCGTTCACATTTTAGTAGGTGTAGCAAAAAGAAGATGATACTTAAATGACATTTTTTTACCTTGAATTCAAGCCTTGAGCAGAATATTCTAACGTGCTATCTATATGCAGTCTCTCCCCTTTTTCTCCTTAGAAGATGCAAGTGCTACCGAATATTTACCATCTATAAACGTGCACATGCATAAACCTTTTGACCCAGTAAAGCTGAGAGGGCAGGAACCAGGTAAGGCAGGATAACTACGATCATATTAACCTGTAAGACATTGTTATTAGGCATTACCTAACCACATTTAACCACTCCAAAAAGAAAAAGAAAAAGAAAAGAGAGGAGAATAATGATATTATGATTTGGAAAAAGCTATGACAATGGCAAGGAGTAATGAGACAACCTAGGGGATGGAATGAGGAATTACAATGGTGTGTGAGAGTAGCAGAGGAAAAAATGCAGTAGCTACAGTATATAGGATGTCTCTAGATGCAGCTGTTTACTTTGAATGGCAAGAGAGGTATTCCAGAACAAAAGAAGGCCAGTAGAAGCTATCATCAAGATGATTATTCAAGAAGTATTTGTGAGAGGAAGGATGAATCCAAAACTGGGCAGTAGATTAAATAGATTGAACTTCTATCCTAGTTAGAAATATTGTTCTTAGTTGTGTGGTGAGATACAGTTCTGCATACTGGGAATGTCCAGTATGTCTCTCTTTCTCTTTTTTCTTTGAGCTGTAACTTCCCCATTGGTAATAAAAATAGTTTTATTTACCAAAGAAAAATGATATTATGATTTGTGAATGAGTTTAACTTCTGTGCTAACAATGTAAAACCTTTTTACATCATCAGAACCTACAACAGGTACCTGTCTATCATAGGTCTAAATTGATAAACTAGAAAAATAAAGTAATAGTATCATGGTGTAATAGTAAAAAGTACACTGATAGTGTAAAAATTCCTTACACTACCGGTACGTATATAAGTTAAATCCTTTGCGAATAGGTAATCAGATGCTGAAAAGAAACCAGTTCAACAGCACGGTAATATAGACAATATACCAAGAGGACTTCAGAAAATAACATAACAAAATATATAAAACAAGGAACTACCGGAAAGTAATAGTTTAGACTCAGTAAAGCAGCAAACCTCCAACCTTCATCAAAGATTAATTCCTATTGACTGATCAGAAACTCCTCAACTTTTTTTTAAATGGATCTCCTCTCGGCTCTCGGTAACTTGCAGAGAACCAAATTTGAAGCTAGAAGACGACCAAATATAATCAGTCCCATTACATAACATGACCGCCTTCTGGACAGGGAAGGGGCCTTTCTTTCTGATTGGTGTAGGCTTTAAGTTACAATACTAAAATTTGTTGTTCAAAATGGAAGCCAGCAGTATAAATACATACATCTTTACTCAGAAGCAAGGCAAAAAGTTCCAGACAGGAAGTTGTCATTGCATGATGTATATCTCTGCTAATAAAGCATGATAAAGTCCTCTTTCAGACAGTTAAATTGTCATTAGATGATGTATATCTCTGCTACGAAAGCACGATAAAGTTATCCAGACAGTGGACTTAGTATTACATTGATAGAAAATTCCAAAGCAAATTTTGACATGCATGTTGCTCAAGGGAGACATGAGCAGATGTTTTGGATTTTTTTTTTCAGGGAGGACAAAGGAAAGGAAAGGAAAGGAAAGAAGACGGTGAATTTAATCTATTTGCTCCAGATTGCCTTTCCAAAGAGAAGATGGGAGAAGGAGACAATGGTTGGGTTAATATCATGGACAAAAACTTAAATTTCTTTCTCATCCAAAAGTGAGTGGAAAGAAAAGGTGGACCTCCTTCACAGAACCTTGTGTATAACCAAAGAAGACCATAGGCTTGTGAACAAAATGAATACTTCATTAACTAATATTAGCGTCAGATGACATCCATTCCTTTCTTTGATTTCCTAATCATTCAAAAAATAAGAACCTAATACTCCTGTTCTCCTCAACATGATCTCCTTTTTCTTTTCTTTTCTGTTTTCTTATTTTTCCTTCCTTCATGTCAATCCAAGTTTTGAGGTCAGAAGAAATGGTCAAGAACTACCTAGATTCAAGCAATTTAGCTATTTATCAATAGAAATCAAAGAGATAGGTGATGACTCGCAGATATATGGAGTAAGATTAAGAGCTTTATACAAATAAGCAAGTCATACAGACCATATAAGTGTTCAGTTAAAAGTTAACCTTTAGTAATCAATACAAGCATTTAACACTAGCAAGAATAACCCAATTTCTCTCTTCACTAGCTATGCTCTCAGGATCTGTCACTGTGTCACATGCATGGATTAGGGGTTATTCAAGAAACCATACACCAAAAGGAACCCAGATATTCCAAATCATTATTCAGACATCTTTGATCATATCAGAAAAGCCAGGATTATTTTATTGTAGTAGAATCAAATAAGGACTAGCGTTTCTCCACATTTGATCATATCCTGCAATCGGCATCGCTTCAGTATTATCCGCTCTTATACTTCTTTTTTGGTGTTGTATATCAAGGTTTTATTCGCAGAACTATAAGCAATTCATGTCCTCCTGCCGTTTATCTCAGCAAAATTGCATCTGTAACAATATTTTTTGATGAAGTGCATCTGTAACAATATTATTCAGGCAGAACACGAGTTGAGTTGAGGACAGAACAACCTCATGCAATAATGCACAAACTGAAGCCTGAGATTATAACAGAGGAAACCACCAGTGCACTTGAGTCTTGACAGGTTGACAATCCATGATTCCTTGCTAAGGAACACGGAGTCCATTCTGCTATCTGTTTCTTTCTAATAAAAATAATTGATAAGATGCTTTTATCTCGCAAAAATTTACTTTCTGCTTCTGATAAGACACGACATCCCCACAGACAAACTGCTTCTGCTCAAAACACTTTTCTCTTTGGTCAAACACCTCATACTTTTTTCTTTTTTCTTTTTTTTTCCTCCACATTATTGACTCAAATAATGTGTCACGATGGTTCTTGTATACAAGAACAAGGGTGATATCCAAAATTGTAATAACTATCGGGGTATCAAGCTGCTTAGCCATACTATGAAAGTCTGGGAGAGAGTGGTAGAGCTAAGGGTGATGAGGAGTGTGTCTATTTCCGAGAACCAGTTTAGGTTTATGCCGGGGCGTTCGACTACAGAAGCCATCCACCTTGTTAGGAGATTGATGGAGCAGTATAGGGAGAGAAAGAAGGATTTGCATATAGTGTTCATCAACTTAGAAAAGGCGTACGATAAAGCTCCAAGGGAAGTTTTGTGGAGATGTTTGGAGGCTAGAGGAGTACGCGTTGCCTACGTTAGGTTGATTAAGGACATGCATGATGGAGTAAAAACCCGAGTGAGGACGGTGGGTGGGGACTCGGACCATTTTCCGGTTATGATANATGATGGGGTTGCATCAGGGGTCGGCACTCAGCCCTTTTTTGTTTGCTCTGGCGATGGACGTACTGACGCTCCACATCCAAGGGGAGGTGTCGTGGTGCATGCTATTTGCAGATGATATTGTATTGATTGACGAAATGCGAGACGGTGTGAATGCGCAATTAGAGGTATAGAGGCAGATCCTGGAATCTAAAGGTTTCAAGTTGAGCAGGACCAAGACAAAATACTTGGAATGTAAGTTCAGTGGCGAGACTCAAGGAGGGGAAGGGGAGGTGAGGCTGGACTCGCAGGTCATCCCTAGGAGAGGGAGTTTTAAGTACCTTAGGTCTATTATTCAGGGGGATAGGGAGATTGATGAAGATGTCACACATCGTATTGGAACGGGATGGATAAAATGGAGACTCGNACCTTGGAATCTAATGGTTTCAAGATGAGCAGGACCAAGACAGAATACTTGGAGTGTAAATTCAGTGGCGAGACTCAAGAAGGGGAAGGAGAGGTGAGGCTGGACTCGCAGGTCATCCCTAGGAGAGGGAGTTTTAAGTACCTTAGGTCTATTATTCAGGGGGATAGGGAGATTGATGAAGATGTCACACATCGTATTGGAACGGGATGGATAAAATGGAGACTCGCTTCCGATATTTTGTGTGATAAGAAGGTGCCACCGAAACTTAAGGGTAAGTTATACAGAGTGGTGGTCAGATCAACGATGTTGTATGGGGCGGAGTGTTGGCCAATCAAGATCGCTCATGTCCAGAAGATGAAGGTAGCAGAGATGAGGATGTTGCGATGGATGTGCAGGCACACCAGGTTAGATAGGATCAGAAATGAGGTTATTCGCGACAAGGTACATGTGGCCCCTATTGAGGACAAGATGCGGGAAGCGCGGCTTAGGTGGTTTAGGCATGTGAGGAGGAGGAGCACAGATGCCCCGGTGAGGAGGTGTGAGAGGTTGACATTGGAGGGACTACGGAGAGGTAGAGGTACACCAAAGAAGAGCTGGGAAGAGGTGATTAGGCAAGACATGGCGCAGCTTCAGCAGACCGAGCACATGACCCTTGATAGGAAGGTATGGAGGTCGGGGATTAGGGTAGTAAAGTAGGTAGTCTAGAGTGTATATAACAGTGGTATTGGCACGCAATCTCGCTTCCTGTTGGTAGTAGGTTTTATGACTAACCGTTGTTTTCTTTCATTATTGATCATCTTACTATCTTGTTATTTTTATTCTGCTTTTATATGACTTTTTGGTACTGTCCCTTCTTGTCTATATTTTCATTAATGTGGTGCGTATGCTTTCCTGAGCCGAGAGTCTATTGGAAACAGCCTCTCTATCCTCACAAGGTAGGGGTAAGGTCTGCGTACACACTACCCTCCCCAGACCCCACAGTGTGGGATAATACAGGGTATGTTGTTGTTGTATTATTGACTCAAATATCTCTAAGTGCACTGAGAAAGATAAGCCTTCCTCCTAATTCAATATAGAACATGTTATAGGGAACATAAACTCAAATGTCAAAATGCACCCAAATAGTTTCAAACTTTCATCAATTTTTGTAGTAGCATTAATTACTCAACATTCTGTTTACTCTGTGGCGCTGTCGAATGGTAAAGTACACAAATTATCAATTTCATACTCTCATACAAATTGACAACCTTACATACACTGTACCCAATGTAAAAATCAAAGAAAGGAACTTGCTATAAAATGAATCAACATACTCACCACTAAGGGAATATGCACATCCTATCAAATCTTTTCTTATATGAATAGAAACTACAATCTCAAGGAACAACTTCAAAATTGTATCTAACCTGAAAATCATCGAGCCCAGTTCCAACGCCAGTACGCGTTCCATTATTCCTCCTCTCATAATCATTATCATCCGTAGGCAACTCATGGCGACAAACAGGACAAGTATTACGTATATTTAACCACGGCACAATACAGTCCCAATGGTAATAATGGGAACAAGGAAGCTCAGTCACCTTCTCCACAACCAAAATCTCATCTTTACAAACAGCACAAGCCATCTTGTTTTCTTCGTCCTTCAAAACCACAAACGGAAGATTTTCAACAACAGATTTAGCTGCTGGTGGACTACCCTTCATCAAGGTCCCTTCACTTTCGAGAAATTGCCCAAACAAGGCATCACCAAATTCAGTATCATCATTTCCATCAAAATCGAGGCTTCTCTCGATATTATTAACCGCCAATAGAACTTCCCATTCTAAATTCCTCACCGGCTCATCATCTCCACCGTTAATTGAACTCGAAATATCTGAAGAAACTGATATTTCTTCAATCCCATCAATCACAGAGCTCAAAAAGTCTCTATCTTCAACCCTTTCATTGACTTCTTCCCACTCGAAATCTTCATTCAAATTTTGATCAATAACCCTAGAATTCAGCTCCTCCGAATCGGAATCCGACCCCATACCCACAACCCGAAGCCCATCACCCGTATTATTAAACACGTTAGATTCTGAGGGAAGAAAATCCCCATCAAAATCAGATCCAAAATCACCGAACGGATAAACCCGAGAATTAGGGTTTCTATTATCAAAATCAGGGTCTTCTGTAACGAACAGATCCGTAACGAAATTCATTTGATCTTCATCGACGTAAAATGAATTCTCAGAATCCAGATCTGAATGTACGGATCCGGGTCCTGAATTGGGGCTGTAGTTGAAATTATTAAAAAAGGTGTGATTAGGAGGAGGAGAAAGGGAGTCGAAATCGAAAGCGAAGGGATTTGGGTATTCTTCATCATCATCGTCGTCGGCCACGGCCACGGTGGCATAGGTGGTGGTTGTCGGGAGGTGGAAACGGTGGATTCTAGAAACTTCTGCCATTGATGAATTGAAGAAGACAAAGTGAAATATTCAATTTGAATTTTTAGAGTAAAGGGGGGCGGTCGCCAGTTGACACCGATGGAATTTTGCTGATTTCGCAATTTTTTCCGGTTCTCTCGACCCCTTGTGGCGTTGTCTGCCTTCGGGCGGTAGGCAAGCAAATACTAATTTCTATATTTTCCTTTTATTATCTTAACAGATAAACCCATGGCAGTTTTTTGCTATTATTATATAAATAATAAATAATGTTTTAAAAAAATGGTCTTTGATCTAGTCCTTTGTTTATCCGGAAAATTGAATAGAGTTAAATTTGTGTATGGTCTAAGGACACGTGATATAATTCGATACAAATGGTAGAGTGAAATGGAAAATATATATATTCTTGACAAATGAAATGAAATATAAGGCAGAGAAAAAGAAGTATTTGATGTACAAGGCAAAATAAATGAGCTCCAAGATATTAATCTCTCAAGAGTTGTCTTTGTTATATTGTGTGAATCTCCCTTATGCTTACAAGGATCTCCCTCTTTATAGTAAAGGGATCCTACTTTATCTATAATAAAAAATATATAGTAGAGAACCCATGATAAATTATCTTTTCCCCAATTCCTGTCAAGATTATTTCCCTTAGTGCGGTTGCAACGGCCATTGTCTGTGAGTTCGATACTGACTCGAAGTCGGTATTGGATCGAGCCATCGGCCTTGACTCGGGCTTGATCCCGATTCGGAGTCTTGATATTCGAGGTGGGTGTTGATCGGTCTAAGCATCTTCGACAACCTTTGCGTTGCCCCGTAGTTCGATTTGGTTATGGGCTCGATAATGATACCGAACCGATCATTGATCGGACTTAGAGCTCGAAGCATGACGTCCTTACTTCGGACCTCGCCCTGACATTACGCATACACCCTTCGATCGAAGTATTGCCATCTCGACCAGTCCGTACGATTGACTACTCGGTTTTGACCGTATACAGATAGTCCCATTGTTTCTCAGGAAGGATGTAACGAGAAACGATATGACTTTCCAACGGTACGATTAGATACACACTGACGTTTGCACCGAGTTCGATCATAACGCACATGATAGTTGTCCTGTCAGTTCCGTTTACCGAGGCATTTAATGCGTGTCTGACGATGGTCGGCCATTACCGATTATTGAACCGCCACCGTTTAACCTATAAATATCCCTTTCTTCTACCATTAATCACCTTTACATTCTCTGATCAAAAAAATTTCTAAGCATCTCCCCATACTTTCTGAATTCGTTTGCGTGAAATTTGTCCTTCTGTGTTTTTCACTACAAAATCTTTCTTTGAAACATCATACCCTCTTTATTCCTTTCTTTTAAATTCAAGGAAGATGGTGAAAACATCAAAGACCGTTCCTTAAAAAGGAAAGGCCTCTTCTTCGCAGCCCGCCACCGATAAAACACTGGTGGAGCCACGGCCAGATGAGTGTGTTCCCAAAACATGCCTTCTCACCTCCGATTTCAAGCTCGACAAAGGCACGTTGGTTCCCGGTCGATGCGAACCGGTATCGAGATATTTATGCTCGATAACCAAAAAGTAACTCGAACAGTTGAAGGCAGATTGCAACTGGGAAAATAAGGAAGTGGTGATTCCGACTTCCGACGAAGATATTACCACCCATATGGAAGGGTTCTTAAGCATGTATACCTACCCGTTTATGTTAGGACCTTTCGACCTAGTTATCGTCGACTTTTGTCGGCAATACCAAATAACTCTAGGCCAAATTCATCCTTCCTTTTGGCGTATCGTTATTACGATCCGTTTCTTTGCAAACATGATCGAGGGGATGCCTTTCACCCTCGATCATCTTATTAGACTGTATAGTCCCCGCCTCTTTCGAGGCGGATTAATAAAACTGCAACGCCAAACTATCAAGGTATTGTTCTCGAGTATAGACAAGGATCGAGGTTGGATGGGCAGGTTTGTTCGAGTGAAGACTTCGGACCTGGTCCCAGCCGAAAAGATGTCGTTCCCCGAAGAATGGAATACGAATCGTGAGTGTACTTTACTATTTTATTTCCTATTGCCTTGTTTCTTTGTTTGTTTTCTTGCCGATATCTTTTTTGTGATGCAGCAGTTCTTTGGATGCCCGGTGTTGTCCCCGATCTTAAGAGCTGGGTACTGGCTCTAACGTCGAACTACTCATACGCCGAACGTTCGTGGCGTGATCTCGCGAAGGGCCGATGGGAGGCAAAAATTCATGGTAAGCCCATTTTTCATGTTTTTGGGAGTTCGAACGAAATATTTTCCTTATACTTAACCGATTTCTTGTGTTTTGGGGAATTCTTGTGTGTAGGCCTACACAGAGACGCAGTTTTGTGGCCCTTGCCCGGCGAGGAAGACCTCGGTTCCAGTTTCCAAACCGGCGAAGGGAAATAAGAGGAAAAGGGCATCTACTTCTGAGAATCCAAAACCGAAGGCAAGGTCGACTCTAGGGCTGGGCATATATCGGGTAAAACCGATAACCCGAACCGTTAATTATTTATTGGGTTATCAGTATTGGGTTATTGGGTTAACGGTTCGGTAACAGTTTAGAATTTTTTTACTATTGGGTTATCGGTTCGGGCCTCGGTTTGCCAATTTTATTAATGGGTTAACCGATAACCCAATAAGGATTAATGAAATTATTACTTTACCCTTAAGTATATACATATGCTAGGGCTTCACTTCATTCTTTCCTATTCTTTCTCAGTCGCATTCTTCAGTGACTATGTTGATAAATCTTGATACCTGCATTCTTTATCGATTTTGATTTTCTTGTTGCTCTAATAAATCTTGCTGCTTCTCCACGTTTGTGTTTATCTGCAAGCACTTCTAATCGTTTCTTTTCATTCTTCCATCTCTATTAAAATAGCAGCAAGAAATACTGTTAAAGAATATCTGAAAGAAATTGCAGGTACTCCAGAGTATCTGCGGGTTCACATGTCTGAAAGTCTTCAACTTATAAAGGTTTTGTCCCTTCAGAGTATGATACAGACAAGCAAAGTGAAGAAATATAATTATTCTATTGATGAACGGGGGAAAGCAATGATACGTTGATAATAATTATTCTATTGTGCTATGCTTTTAGTTGTCATTACTTATATGGCTATGTTGATAATGATATTGGTAATTTGGGGTTTCGGTTGATTTCAGTTGACAAGTCACTGTTTTTTGGTTTAATTCTGTTTTTGACATCTTTTAGAATTAGAACATGTATTCTTTTACCGCAGAAAAGCTTGTTTAAGTTGGGAAGATGTATGACAACATTAACTCGTAACTGCATTTTGCCTTTTTCTCATTGTCATTATACTCCTTATGAAATCATTCTCTAGGTTTGCTTGGGTTATTACGACATAATAGAAATATTTAACTAACATAATTCTGTTTTGGACCTTTTTAGAATTAGGACATGTATTATTTTACAGTTGATTCTTCTAATTCGTTTTTTAATATTTTGTTGCCTCACTGCTTTATTTCTTTTAAATTCAAACTCACAGTGACACAAACACATGGCTAAAAATATCATAATTGATAAAGTGATTAGTGAAAGTGGAACTTCTAATTCAAATGTGATGGCACAATCTCAATCAGTTCAATCGACAGTAAGGAAACAAAGAAAAAAGAGGTCTCCTGCACGGGATCATTTTGACCAAATTATTGATTCTGAAGGAAATAAAAAGGGTGTCTGTAAACATTGCAAAAGAGAATATTTTGCTGACACAAAAGATAATGGTACGAAATCACTGCTTACGCATATGACCAATTGTAAAAAAATACCTTTAGATGTTGTAACAAGTCAATCAAAATTAGCCTTTCAACCTGTTCCGGGGAGTAATAAGGGTGATATAGTTGTTGTTCTTTGGAAATTTGATCAAGAACAATGTAGGAAAGCTATCTCACATGTTTGGAGTCACTATGAAAGGATTGGAGAAGGTGATGATGGATGGTGGAAGTAAGATGTTGTCATTGTCATCTTGTTTTATGTTACAATGCACGACAAACTGGTACTGAGTCCTTAATGAGGCATGTTGAGCGTTGTTTGGAGCGCAATTTGGTGAAGCATATAAGGATTGAGTAGTTGTTGTCTTGCTAACTTGAATTTGAACTATTAGTATTATGTTTGGACTTGTTAATCTTAAGGTGAAATTGCTACTAATTTGTATTGTTATTAATGTATTTGGACAACTGTTGTGGAAGAATTAGTACTATTTCAGTTGTGTTTGGACTTTGGACAACAATTGAATTACTAGTACTCTTGTTGCTCTTGATTATGGTTTGGCAGGAAACCAAAAAATTATTATGTATGTTCCTGTTAACTGCTATTGTACTGCCTAGCTTTTGCTTTCTTTTGTGATCTCAGTTATTGAGCTTGACTAGTAAAAAGTCATTGTCTGCAGTTCAGGCTTTTGCTATATGCTTGAACATCTTTGAAACTTCCAATTTCTTGATGTATTGTGAATTGGCTTTTGCCGCAAGAATTAATTAATTGATGTTCCTGGAACTTGGAGGGGTACTGTAATGAAAGGGGATTCCTGAGCAGTCTCAAGTTTCTTGTATTTATAGGGTGTATGATAGAAAGTTGTTGTTATGTCAATAGTTTATTTTATACATTCTTTTTTTGATTATGTGTTCACATCCTGTGAAGGCATTGGAGAATTATTAATTGTCATCTGATGCCACCTGTTGTTGATTGTTTAATGGAAATGGAATCTCAACTTCCTTGACTTGCAATTTAGCATTGTTGGGAATTCTTGGCTTTGGAATTGGATTCTTGCTTGGTCTTTTTATTGGATTTTATTTCTTCATATGCTCTGAGCTCACTGACGTTGAGGTATTTAATAAGAAGAGTTAAAGAGTTGCAGATGTACGGTATAAAAGCAGAAGCAAATATTGTCAAATTGTTTTAATTTGTCAAAATGAAGCTTCAAATATTAGTTGTGGCCAGAACGCAGAAATTAGTATACTATATGTGAATTGTCTTCTTTTTTTTTTGCTTAACTCTAGATTGAGTTATCTTATCGGGCAAATCGATAACTGAATGGATAATGGTCGATAACCGGTTAACCGATAACCGATAATCGATATCTTATCGGTTCGGTTATCGATTTACCATATTTGTAAACCGATAACCGATACGCTAAACCGATAATATTTACAACC